CGGGAAAAGCGGAAAATAACGAGACAGGAATCGCGACGACGGACGAGCGTCGAGGTTGCGAACGATGAAGATCGTCACCGATGTGGGTCGTTGACATCGTCCCGTGATTTTCCTCGACGTTCACATGGATGCACCTTGCACGTGTGTGCACGTTCATTACGTCTGCCTGCCCACCCCCTACCGACGTGGCGAAGAGGGGCGGAGAGGACGTGGCCCCGCACCACCAGTTGCATTCGCGATTGCAACTTCACCCCCACGCAATTATGCCATCCAGTAGCCGTGTTTCTATAGATAGAACGATATTTCCCTCTCGCTCCCTCCCTGTTCGCTCTCTTTCTCACCCCCTCCCTGTTTCTTGATATTTCTCGGGTTCTACGATTCCTCTTTTTCCCGTTCGACCGCATTTTTCCCTCTTTATCTGTAGCCGAGGCGAGCAGAATATACAGCGGGTGCAGTGTATTCGCGAGGATGATCATCGCGTACGCATCGATCGTGAATCGCTCGCGGTTATTTCGGGAGGTTTGTTCCGGGGGCTCAAGGGGTTCGCGTTTGACACTAAAAAATTCGTGGTTCCACGAGAATTGATAGTAGTAGATTTTCTAAATAGAAATGGAAATTGTTTGCCCAACATATCGGATTCAAAGTTTTGATTTTAAAAAGTTTAACCCCCTCGAAAAATCCTGGTACCATTTTAGTGGATTTTACGAGCCCTTTAAATATCAAATACGTGGCTTTAACTGTACTTATCGTAAACTATACGTCTAATCGAAGGAATCCCACGTGAACAGATAAACGATTAAGATTCTGTTAAATCTATGCGACTTATCGCGAACGTCGTTTTGTTACACGTGATTTCGAATGGAATGCGATTAATAATTTATCTAAAACTTGAATACAACCCAAGAAGACGAAGTAGTGTGCAATACGGATATTACTTGAGACTTTATTTTGTATAAACTTTAAATTTTTATTAAGGTAACGTTTCGTGGTGTGATTCTATTCCAACTTTACTAGACTTTATATAACAAACTGCAAATACATCTATTTATAAATGCATCTAAACATATGTGTGTATCATAAATTCAGTAGAGTTGTAAACACGCTTCCCAGATAAAATTAAATTGTTTACAAATGAAGACACATCACGTGTATAGTATAATAGACGTCTGGAACACGTGCCTCTAGACCGTGCTCACACTAATGCTAGATTAACTTTAATCTACCGTGATCTGCAAATCAATACTGTCAGTAAATACTCAGTTCAACTTAACGTTCACGTATCGGTGATACAGCTTCTCAGAATGATTCGATGGTTTCGTTTCAAAGCTCGATATTTGGGTTTCACCATGATAATGCCAGACCTCACGCAAGTTTAGTAACTCGTCAGAAGCTATTGCAGTTTGGATGGGACGCGCTACCACACCCACTATACACGTCAGATCTGGCACCATCGGATTATCACTTGTTCCAGTCTTTAAAAAATTTCTTAAACGATGAAACATTTACTTACAGTGACGATGTCAAAAATCACTTGCATCAGTTTTTTATGAATAAAGATCAGAAATTTTATGAGCATAGAATCATGCTACTGTCATGAAGATGGCAAAAGGTGTTGGACCAAAATGACCACTACATGATGGGAAAAATTTTAATGGGAGATTCTAGAGGCCAAAATGAGACGAAAATCAAGCGTACTAATTGGTCGATTGAGGCTACGTTAAAAAGTTATAGAAACATTTCTGGCCACACAGTACATTTTTAGTAATGAATTTTTTTCTCGAAAGTGCGTAGAATTTCGGGGGTATGTTTATTCACCAAAAATGTTTGTAATTGACCCCTGCAACCGAAAATAATTTTTCCAGAACGATTTGAAATTTTTTTTTTTCGTCGAAAAATTTCTTAAAAATTCGTTTTTTATTTTTAATAATTTTGTGTGACACCCTACAGAAAAGTTCTCTAATACTTTTTTGTAGGTATCTATGAGCCCTATTTCAGGAAAAAAGTTTCATTGAAATATGTTCACTATTGCAGGAGTTATGGCTGTTTGAAAATTGGACTATTTTTATATGGCTCTTCTCACTTTACGGGGTCAAGGGATCACTTTTCCAATATTGTTCGAATTTCTACATATTCTTCACTAAAATACGCGTTATTTGCCTTTCGAAACATTAAAATCCATCAATCCGTTCGGAAGTTATAACGTTTTAAAGATACGCACGAAATTTTGGAGTGACATTCCTGGCTTGAAATTATATTTTCGGTAAGGAATTTTTTTCTCGAATATGGTTAGGATTTCGAGGGTGTGTCTATTGACCAAAAATGATTGTAATTGAGCCCCGCAACCAAGAATAATTTTTCCGTGAATGATTTGAAATTTTTTAATTTAATTTTGTTAATAACTTTTTAACGAAGCCTCAATCAACAAATTAGTATCGTTGATTTTCGTCTTATTTTGGCCTCTAGAATCTCCCATTAAAATTTTTCCCGGAGATGGCCGGACACCTTTCACGAAGAAGAAAAACGAAATTACTTTTCGAACAACCCAATCACTTCAATATTTTCTTCTTTACTTTTTTAACGCGTTCTTTCAATTTTACTGTTTCCGTGTTTGATCCACGCGTTCATTGTTACTGGATGCGCGTATTCTGCACGTTATATTTAATTGTTTTCCCGAACGAAGCGTACGAGGATTCGAAATTCTCCAACAAAGACGATTCATAATCGAGTCGCTGAAGCTCGAAATGAAGACAGCGAGATCGCGGCGTCCGTCCGCTCCATTTGTCGATCGCGGCGCCTCGTTAATCGCCGCGAGATAAACCCGCCGCTTTTTACCCCGACGTTGGCGAGACCACGGGCAATCGTCGATCTCTAGATCGGACTTTGCACGGTTCGATGTCTGCGGTGGCCGATGATGCTCGTGCCGGAAAAACGAGAATCATGCCCGACGATTACCGACCAAGAACCATTCGCGCGGTTATTCAACACAATTCTCATTTATAGAATCACAATTTGAATCCTTAAAAATAATACAGGGGTAGTCTAGGGTAGAAAAATCAGGGGACGAACGAGATTTTATAAAGCATTGCTAGCTTTAAGTCTTGCACCATCACTTTTTAATAGCACTCTGATGTCTAAAACTCCCTCAACCCTTATTTTACCAAAAGACACCTTAAACCCAAATTTCGACTTTTCATCTATCGCTTCTAAACCAGACTGTTTTTCACAAACTTTAATCTATGATAAATTACTAGTTTCTATATACACATATACAATTTTACAATGTAGCACAAAAAAGTGCGAAGTTTTAGGATAAATATATTTTAATAAACATCTTGAAATATTTTCCAATTCCCAAGTGGTACGTGGAAAAATTTAATGGTACCAAAATTGTCGAACGAGTAGAGCGAGTAATCCACGAAGATCCACAGCGCATAAAAATGGCGCGATGTAATGTCGATTGCGTTCATCGTTATCGATTGTTCCTCGGCCGCTATCCTTTTCGAAAGCTCCGATCGGACATTATATAAGCTACCCCGATGCCGACCATCCGCGGCTCGTTTTATCTTCACTCGTTATTCAAACTCTCAGCCTTGAACTTCGACTCACGGAACGTGTCATTGTCCGAATTGAGTTATTCGTCTGCCGCGATCCCGTATGGTTAACGCGAAAAGGTGCACGATCGCTCAATCGATGTAGGGATTCGTTGCTCGCGTACTCGTGTTCCTGTGTCAGCGATGAGAAACGATCACGTGACTCGTGCAACTCTATCAAACTATCACTTTTCCACTCGTCCAGTGAAGCAAACGTTGCTTCCGAATAACGAATAAAATGTTTCAGATTCGTCCGTAAATTAGTTCCCGCTTATGTTTCGTTCGCGAATTAAAAACCGCGAAAATTTATTCACAAACGGATCCAAAAGCATTGTCCGTTGTCCGAAGATAACGTTCGCTCGACAAACAGTTCATTGTCTTGTGATGCTTCTGTACATTTTACTCGTGGATCTTGTGGTTAAAGTTTAATTTAATAGCTTGATAGAACGAGACTAAGTCGCTGACAGAAATGATCGAATCGAAGTGATAATTTTTACGCTGGATTCTTTTCACCGTATATATCTTGATCCCTATCTACATAAGTTTGTCTGGAAATCAAAATGGCTTATTTTTGAATAAATAATATATTCAATATAACAAAGTAACCGCAATACTGTAAAACTATGTGTTTTTGAACACCTTCTTGGCGACCATTTGTTTAAGTTTCTTTCGACGCGTGAACATTTTTGGAACCCGATCGATAATTATCCTTCTTTATGTTTAGAATCGTAGTAGAATCTCAATCGTTGCAATTCCCTCTTTTATGAGAATTTTTGTTAGTAACGCTTTGTTAAAAAAAACACACACAACAACAGATATATCGTTGTTTATGGCGCGTGCATTGTCAGCAACGGTTCAAGAACATAATAAATTCAATTGCATTCTAGTGTCATCTTTATCTCGTTGCAGAAACTTTTTGACCTTCTTGCGTAGTCGAAGCCACTAATAACTCGATAGAATGGGAGCGAATCAATAAGCTTCGATAAGCCGTGTTAGGTCACCGTGTCGCCTAAAATTTTGGTTTTTCAAACAGAATTTTTCTGAGACAATCGGAGATCCGACAAGTCCTGTTGCATTCCGATACTCTAAACGAGCACCTAACTCTACAAGATACGTTTCCTCGTCCTTACGGAAGTCTTCAACTGTAAAACGCGTTTTTTTTATATTTTTTTGTAAAGAAACTATGCGAGTTCTTGCATCGACGTTTCGCATATATATTTATTACTCTTTTAGCAATATTCACAAATTTTTGCAACGAGTTGTAATCAAAAAGTGTTCCAATGGCTTTCATGATTGCCAAAATCGAAGTTGTTTACAGTTTGCAATAGAAGACCTCCTTAAATTTAAGATTACAAATAGCGTATCACGTCTGTCGAGTAATTGTAAATTGATTGTATTCGATGGTTTTAGGTAACAATGCAGGCGGAAGATCGTCAGCGGTGACAGGATTGGTACAAAGAAGCACCGTCAGTTCGAGTAACCGCGCCCACTCCGCCACCAGGAGGATCAGTCATCAGCAACGTCAGCAACAACAGCAACAACAACCCAGGATACCCTTGGGACCCTTACGGAACTCGGATGACCACGTGTCCAGAGCGAATTCGGCGCAGGACGTTTGCGACAATTCGAACGACTCTGGACTTGGATTCGAAGAACGACAGCAACATCTCATCACCGCAAACGTTAGTGCATTGCTTGCGCAGTATGGCTCATAAGGTTGAGACTGCCTTCTGAAATTTATCAGTGTTATATTTCTCAATATAACGAACGAACCAGAAGCTTCGCGAACTCGGTAAAAAAGCGATAAATCGAGCCTGTGGTTCACAACTTCGTAGGAATAATAACGAACAATCGACAAAGTAAAATAATTGTAGCGACAGTTTCTCTGAACGGTGATTAATTTTAGAGTATTCCATAATGTTAGCCCCGTAAACGGATTATTAGGGCCCCCCACAAGTTTAAACTAATATCGTATAATATACGTAAATGTAATTATTTGAAAATTTATGTGACCCTCCGTTAGTTTGTTATCTTTTAAATGCTTTAAAGTTCGCGCGAAATTGAAACACACCGTTGTGGATTTATTTTTTTTTTACGTTTATTCGATGACTCTGGTGTTTGTTTACGTATCGCGAAACAAAACGCGTTATCGAGAACGCCGACAGAAGCTGGCAACGGGAGCGATCTTATCAATGATTAACGTCGCGAAACGGCGTTACGTTCGCGGATTGATCGCGGAATTATCGTCGATATTGACGTTGAATGCGTTTATTCGTTTACACGAGTCTCGAAACTCGGAGCTCTCCGCCTCGCTCGAGTGGCGTAACCGACAAGAAAGACCAAAAAAGCATCCCTACCTCCCCGTAATCTGTCTCGAGCGTTATTTTTGTATCGGAACGAAAACAATACGCGAGCCCAGTCAACGGCCTCGCGAACGAAATAACGTTGAAACGATCGGAAATACGCGTTTATATCATCCGCGAGCGTCCCCGGCCAAGAAATAGCTTTTTTACGCGCTCAAGCTTTGATTAATATTGGTACGTGCAACGATAATTCATATTTCTTACGTTGCGTAACACCGCCGATACACGAATGAAACAGAAATCGCGTCCGTGCATAAAATACACAAGGCACTCGCGCAGATTACATTCTAATAATATACTGTTTGCAACGCGGTTAATGGTATATCGATGATTATTGGACGAATATCGTGGACGGTTCGATTGCTCGATATTGACACAAAGCATCGTACTCGTTTTGTAACGATCGAACGGGACGCAGTAAACTGTTTTCGAACGAAAGTTCAAATCCTAGTCCACCGATCGACCTATTTCTCACTTCTCCACGGTGGGGTTTATCTAATTACGATACGGTATAAAAATAGAGGTATAAAGTATATCTGTGGCCGGATGACTTGATGCGTCGTGTAATTTTTTAGCAAAGCGCACGACGTGTCCAGAAATTGAAAATGTTATAAAATAGCTAAAATCCACGTTTCACAAATTCTACTCCAATTTTAATATCGAGGACCTTCATTATTTGTAATAATTCTGAATAGTCAGCCGTGTATCGGTTCACTTCGTTCGCACCGCTTATCGCTCTAGACTAAATACTCTCGATTCGCATAGCTATCTCGATCAAAACACTTCCTATTCGTACGAAACCTTCACCACAGCAGAAATAATAAAAGAGTTTCAAACGAATGTACCGAAGTAAAGAGCGCTTAATTCCAAGCGCTACGCATATTACATTCTCCACATGTACTACACTGCGGAGCATAACTATAGCATCACTAACATTTTTAACATTTCCGACCTGTAAGAAAATAATTTGAAACAACCAATTATATGGTATGAAAAAGCATTGTAAATAATGGATTTTAGGTGAAATTCATTGAAGTTGTCTACTTATATGTCAAGATTTAATCGATAAACGTTTGACGATCGGTGCAAAACAATAGAACCAGTTCATTTTTAACGCACTTCAAGGGTTTCTGTTGGAATTTTTTTAGTAAACCCGGGAATTCTTAGTTAATTAATACAATGCCACGTGGCAGCTACCTTAATGAACAAGAGCAACGTGCAATTTCAGCGTACAGAGAGCAAAAAATGGGGATACGTGAAATCGCACGTAAACTCGGGCGATCTCATAAAGTTGTAGTGAATTTTTTACGCGATCCTACTAAGTATGGGAAAAATAAGAAAGGGGGACCTAAGAAGAAGTTATCCCCTCGTACTGAAAGGCAAATTGCTAAAGTTGCGAGCAATACGTTAAAAAGCTGTAAACAAATTGCGAAGGAATGTGATCTCGGCGTTTCTCGTTGGACTGTCCAACGTGTCCTTAAACATAATTCAAACATTATAAGACTAAAAATGATGTCTGCACCTACACTTCTGAAACGTCACAAAATAGCCAGGCTTGAATACGCACGAGAAAACATGAGCAGATATTGGAATAATGTAAGTTAAGTTTAGACATTCATAAATCGAAATTTTAGCTTCATATTCAATATTCCTTATTTAACTTAGGTTATTTTCTCTGACGAAAAAAAATTCAATTTGGACGGTCCGGATGGATTTAATTCATATTGGAGGGACCTTCGTAAAGAACAAAAATACTTTTCGAAACGTAATTTCGGTGGAGGCACACTTATCGTGTGGGGTGCATTCTGCTCCTGTGGCAAGTTCAGATTAGCTTTTCCAACTACACGAATTAATAGTGCGGAGTATATTGGAATACTCGAAAATCATTTATTGCCTTTTATTCATGCAAACAATCACATTTCATGGACTTATTAACAAGATAATGCTCCAATCCATAAAAGCCGACAAACCACAGCATGGTTTGAAACGTTTGATGTCAATGTATTGAAATGGCCTGCATGCTCCCCAGACCAAAATCCAATTGAAAACCTATGGGGTGTCATGGTACGGCATATTTATGGAAATAATCGACAATTTTCGAACATTTCGGAGCTAAAAACAGCAGTTATTGAAGCGTGGAATCAAATTAGTGAAGAAACTTTGAAAAAACTCATTACAAGTATGAACAATCGTATTTTTAAATTAATACATAAAAAAGGAGGTCCTACTCATTATTGAAACTGCTCACTTTAATAAACTGAATTAGAAATTTAACACTTTATAGCCATTTAACCTTATTATTACGTTCCAAATACATTGGTGCTATAGTTATGCACCATTGCAATATTTCATTTATTATTATACTTCATGTTAAATAAATGTTATTTTTGTATTTTTTCCATTGATTATAATTTTTTTCTAGTCCTTTTCACGTGGTATTATTAACATTTAGAAATCATTAGTTACAACTACAAAACTCTTGAAAATTATAGTGGTGCTATAGTTATGCTCCACAGTGTATATCTTCCGTAAAAAAGGGATAAAAAAAAAATTTCGATTTTTTCAATCCGTCACAGTGGTCCCCCCTTAACAAGGTCGCATCGTCCAGCCCCGGAAACCATTTCCCAAGAGGCCATCCTCGAAGCCTCTGAAGCTTCCCCTTCGGTTACGCCACTGTCGCGCGCGCGTGGACGCCTCGTATCTAATGCGATCGCGTATAGCGGGTACGGGATCGTCGTTGATTCGACAACGACGAACACCGACCGGTCTCTAACGGTAGTTGAACCCGGCCCGATGGGCGTTCTGATTCGTTAAATTAAGCTAGCAACTTAACAGCGAGTACGTACACGTATGCGCGCCTCTATCAATCTGTCGTTGCTTAACAGGCTTGGAACGGCGCCGGCGAGGAGGACTCGAAGAGGAGGAAGATGGACATCAAGCTCGAGTCCGAGGACGCAAACTTCGCTTTCCCGGAGGTTGCGCACAATACTAGTCCCGAGAGCAAAACGGCAAGCAGAACCACGTCGAACGGCATAGGGTTGGCCACGATCTCCAGCAACAGAAACGGGACCGCTGGAAGGGTCGTCGACGTACCCAGATCTCGTCCAGGCATGGGTGTCCTCAGCAAAAGGCCGCCATCCGCCCACCAAGGACCCATCACCCTCACCTCCCAACTGTGTACGTGTAGGAATCTATTAACACGTTGACTGCCGTGGGGGCCACCGGTGGCCGGCGACGCGACCAATAGTAAAAATACGCGCGGCAGTCAACGTGTTAAATTGTTAGAAGAATCAGAAAAATTATAATACCAGTAATAATCCCACCAAAACGATTTCAGATATTCGAATCTTCGTATTACAATGGTTTCTCAATGCTCCTGTAGTGCCTATCATTTGTTTATATTGTTCTTGATAACTCCCTGATAACTTGGAATTTACAGACGATACGATACGTAAAAATTTCTCTTTCCCGACGAGTACCAGAAATGGCCATTCTTGGAACGTTATCCTCAATTATTTTATTTTCCAATTATTTTAAGAAAATGCCCGCTTTGTTCGAGACCTCGATGGCAAATTTAAAACCTCGCTCCGGAGAGTGTGTACGGGTTCGGTACGATTTGAAACGATCCACGCGCGAAATATGTGATTTATCGCTAATCGTTCGATTAGGTTTATCGATCTCTCGTCTGGAGCAAGTCGTTAAACGCGCGGGTTTGACAATTTACTGCTGTTGATATTGTAGTTTTTTGGCGGAGATACCGGCAACGGAGGTCACAGACGCGAGGTCGCAGCCGAGAGATAACGTTTCGAAATTTTGTGGGATTTTCAGAGAATTTACAAGCCAGCTCGGGAACAGCGTTGTTTGTATTGTTCGTTGTAACGCGTCGGGATCGTACCACCGAGAGCAATCGTTTTTTCAAATGATTTTTCGAGCAATTATTTGCTCGCGTGCATTCGCAACGAGACGTCGGATCTTCTGATGTTAAAATGGCGAGTTCGTTCGCAAATCGATCGTTTTCACGCGTCCCGAATCACCGTCCGGAAAACCGTTTACAGCCTTCGCTTCGTTAGTTTTACCATAACGATACGTTATCGCCGTTGCTCGGGAGACTGTTTTATTTCGTCTGAAAAGAGTCGTCGATACTGTCTCTGCGATATCACGAGCGATACTCTTTTGAATCCTACAATTTTAACCGTTCTTGTACAAACATGACAATTTTGAAGATGTCGAATTACATTCGTTTTCGGTCCATAATGTAGAGGAAGTCATGTTGTTACTTTGGAATCGATAGTTTACCAAAAATATTACATTCTTCCTTTTTTTTTTAATTATTTGAAAATTTACATAATCCTTCATTAAAAATTAACATTAAGTAAAATAATTCGATTGAGATTGAGAGCCCACTTAAGGGTTAAATGTATTTATCCGTTAAGCCTCCGTTCGCTCGTTGCAATTGTTAATAATAAATTCTTGGATCGGTACTCTGGTTTAGTGGTAAAAGTTTACAATAACTTATTGCCCTTCGTGTTTTTTGAATGCGATGTTAAGGGAACTCTACGTGTAGATTTAGGCTCGTATTTCTTCCCCATTTCAAAGGATGGTAATTTTGATTTTGTCTTTTCTTTGCAACATTCAGGTAGCGCTTCCGCGGATGGCAAAGCACAGTTGCAAATCATCTGCCAGCCGGAGCAGCAGCATCGGGCCCGGTATCAGACCGAGGGCTCCAGAGGAGCAGTCAAAGATCGCACAGGAAACGGGTTTCCAATCGTGCGTTTGGTCGGTTACGACAAACCGGCGACGCTTCAAGTTTTCATAGGCACGGATCTCGGTCGTGTGGCGCCCCATATGTTCTATCAAGCTTGTCGCGTGAGCGGCAAGAACTCGACACCTTGTATCGAGCGTAAAATCGACGGTACCATCGTCATCGAGGTGGACATGGACCCGACGAAGGACATGCTGATCACCTGCGACTGCGTGGGAATTCTGAAAGAACGGAACGTCGACGTGGAGCACAGATTTCCACAGGAGGCTGGTATCCTTCAAGGACGCAGTAAAAAAAAGTCGACTCGTTGTCGCATGGTCTTCCGCACGGCGATCACCCATTCGGATGGCACCACGGAGACTTTGCAAGTCTGCTCTCAACCGATAGTTTGCAGTACGTTCTATTTTACGTGTACTCGAGCATACCTGATCCTGAGAAATCGACCTAATTCACCGAAAATACCGCTAAACCTAAAGGCACTACCATCTTTAGTTTACCAATCACATTGACAACCAATAAAGCCCCAGCTGGGTAACTATTCTAATCCGACTCACCAGAAACATCTAATGCAAAACCAAAGGAAACGTTCTCCGAGTTTCGATTTTTCCAGAACTAAATACACCCGACCCTCCTTTTACAAGGTGAAAGCGTAACCGAGTAAAAGAAAACCTGTAATTGCATGCATACTGGCGACTAAATTTTCTCATAGATCTAACCAATTCATTGTTTTTTTTTTTAATTTTATAACGTTTCTTTTTAGCCCAACCACCTGGCATCCCGGAGATCTGCAAGAAATCACTCACGTCTTGTCCATGCACCGGTGGATTGGAACTATTCATTCTCGGAAAGAACTTCCTCAAAGACACTCGCGTGGTGTTCCAATTAGATAACGACGATTTATCGAGTAGCTTAGAGCCGCACTGGGAGTGCGCAGTCTTACCCGACAAAGAGTTCCTGCAACAAACGCATCTGGTGTGCGTCGTACCCGCTTACAGAAGACAAGATCTGGCGCCCTCGGAAACGGTCAGTGTAAAATTGTACGCAATGTCCTCTGGTAAAACCAGCGAGCCTCACACGTTTCTCTACACCGCTGTGTCCACACCACCCGAGCCATCGGTGGGTAAAGTCGAGCCCATAACTCCACCTCTTTCCACCACGAATGGTGAAACTACCCTTGCGACGTCCCCTGCAGCAGTATCTCTAACTACGGGTGTAACACCTAACAGTAAGCGAACTTCTATCCCTGACAAACAATCTATGTATGAAGTTGTTACAGATGAAATGGTAAAACGAAATTGGTTTTAATAATTCTTCACAGAAGTCTACCATTTCATATGCAACGACCATGTAGCTCTCGAAAGCTACATGTGCAAGATAGTTTATTAAAGCATCGTACTACAAATGTTACGTACATATAACGAAGTCATGAATTTTCAGCTCTGATAACCCAAGCAGCAACAGGAACGTCGAATTTCTTATCCAGCATGCAACCACAGCAACAACCGTCTCAAACGACAGAAACTCTTAAAAACGATCCGAGTCCGCCACCGGTAACAGCGTCTTCTCAAGTATCGTCGGTCATGATGTGGGCCACTCAGAGTTCGAGTTGCCAAAATTCACCGCCTGACGTGATGATGCCACCGCCAGCGTTGGTAGCGAATCCGCTTCTGAATCGTAGATCATCGTCGAACCTTCAATTGATATTGCCAGACAATTTGAAGACAGAAGTCCTGGATGAGAATAGCGAAAACAGTATGATTAGCGAAAACAGTATGCAAAGCATACCCACGCCCACCGCGAACGGTTCGAATGGAACAAGTCCGTTGCAGCAGCTCGTTACCGATACATCTAGGGAAACGTCGCAGACTAACATGATCAGATCGGTTCCCGTTGCAGCGAACAGCTCGCCTGTGCAGGAAACGGTTAATCTCCTCGAAGTTGTCGATATGATGCGGAATCAGCATTCCTTGACGATGGTGACGGCGCATCAAAATACATTCGGAGGTATGCACGAATCGTCTCAAGCCAAAGTTCTAAGTCCTCATCATATCAACAAAGACACTAACCCGATATTGCCGACAGAAGGCAGTCCTAACGGTAGTCTTCAGGGTGGCGGTGTCGTTGATCTCCGAATGAAACACCATCAATCGGAGTTTGGAACTCTGTCGAACTTTACCGCATCGCCTAACGGACAACCGTTACCCGCACAAAGTGGCCATAGCTTGGAGAAGTACCTAAACGATATCGAATCGAACGTTAAAGAGGTTGATAATCAGGAGAACGGCTACGTAGCCAACATACAGCAACGAGCGTCCATTATCGCCACGGGACGACAACCGCAACAGGGACAATCTTCCAACATGCTAGCCCCCGCCACTCCAGGCGTAAAGTTAGATACTCTCGTTAATTCCGCCGCGGAAACTCATCAGCTGGTGTCGTCGCTTCGTACCGTCAACCCTAACAGCAGTACTCTGATGACTCACGTGAACGCGGTCAGCGATCACGAAACAATCCCAAGTCCCCAACAGACTAGAACTAGCCCGCCAATTCCGGTAAAGACTATGCTACTCGAAGCCTTGATGCCGCCCCAAACCGTTCAGCCTATGGCGTCAAATGTAGCGCCGTCCGTTTCGCCTCCCGCGTCGGTGGTGCAGGAGCAGACCGCTGGTGACAATTTACTTACAAGCATCAACGCTGCCCTGATGCCGTCGATGCAGGAGCCACCAGCCACCGCAACCGGTACGTCAAACGCTACCGTCACTGTGTCAGCCCATAATCCATTACAAGTAACGAACGAGACTATGTCTACAACGGCTGATCACATTCCTCAAATTCAAGGTCTCATTCAGTCGGACGTTGTAGCGATGCAACAAGTCCAGCAAGTGGAACAAGTTGTAGCACAGGCACAGCAGCAAGTTGAACAGGTTGTTGCTCAGGCGCAGCAACAAGCTGTTCAAGCTGTCCAGCAAGCGCAACAACAAGTCGTTCAACACGTTGTGCAACATGCACAGGTTGTTCAACAGGCTGTACAACAGGTGCAGGCGGCACAACAAGTTCAGGCTGTGCCTGCAGTTCAGCAGGCTGTGCAGCAAGCCACCCAGGAAGCGGTACAACAAGCGGTGCAACAAGCGACCCAGGAAGTGGTGCAGCAGGTTCAAGCTGTTCAGCAAGCGGTACAGCAAGCGCAAGCAGCCCAAGCAATGCAACAGGCGGTACAGCAAGACATTGGTTCGATGTTGAGCCAACCGGCTGGTTTCGTTGCAGAGGCCAGCTCCGCCCTTGCGAGCGGAGCAGCGCAGGAACCGTCGCAGCAACGATTGACCACTGCTGCGGAACAGGCAATTAATAATGTAATTACTAATGCAACTCAAGATATTATTAACAATCGACCTATTACCACGACTACGGCGCACGCTATCATCGCGACGAAGAACATATTAAACAGCGTGGCCACTCAAAGTGCCCAATTAATGAACACTGCTATGGAAGGCATTTTGCCTAAATCTCCTTCTAGCCAGAACAACATTGTCGAACAAGTTACGAGTAAGTCACCGCCGGTTGCCTTGCCCGTAACACCTAATAGACAAAATGTGAATCCGCCTATAGCGAATACACCCAATAACGCGGGTGGAACGACAATTAGGAAGCAAGAGGACGGTATGCTGCCTCAGGAGCTTACGTCGATGTCGGAGCATGATCTTTTGAGCTACATAAATCCCAGCTGTTTCGATCAGAGCGGTTTTCTTATGTAGTGCCGCCGCATTCTTGTCGTTAAGAATAAAACTGTTCATTGTATTCGAGATGATCGGATATGAAACGTGTTTACTAATTCCAGCCAGTTGAGTACGAGAAGTGTATGCCGTTGGCTCGGTACGAATTCTATATCTGTGCCACATTGTCGTTTCAGACTTTGTATATGATAAAAATGAAAATTCACTTTTGTACGACGAAAATGGACGAAGTTTGCACCACCTTTCTAATGAATTGAAAACTATTATCATGTTAAGTAAGACGGGCGCACGAGAGCGCGACAATTAGGGTTTTCCTTTATTCTTCCTCTTTTTCTACGAGTTGTCGAATGTGATAATTCATTTTATTTATCTCTATCAATGCCTCTTGCGCATCCAGGTGCCTTTTCCCCTATTGTAAAGTATCTCGAATTGGTCTTTCTCTCGCAGTAAAGGAGCATCGTGAATACGAGATCGCGTGTGTATGTATCCTAATAATCGACAATGTGCTGACCCCACTCAACTCTAAGTGGTGCCACGGAATTGAGTGTAGCAAAAGTTACGTTTCGATGTATCTTAAAGTAGAATATTCTACGGTTCATTGATACATTCTTCTTTTTTGACTTGATTTCATTCTAACAAATGGATCATCTTGTTGTTTGACGTCGTTTCTATTATATTTCTAAGTATAATATATTTCGTATGTTGTTTAATAATTGAATCTTTTTGTTGATAATTAATACAAATAATAGAATATTATGTGATTGCGTTGATGATGTTATCGATAACTAATAGACAAATGTAAAACGACAGAGAGATTATATTATATGTCGGTACGAAGAATAATTAATATAGAAGTATATATCACTGAGATATATAATATATTTTACGTTTACCCAAAGAGAGAAGCAGATGATCGGACAAAGTGAGCTTATTAAAAATATAACGAAATCTATATTATATATTGTAACAAGTTACGTAAGGGTTCTCCCTTTTGTTCAGGATGAGGGGTGCTATGTACCGCGTGTACGAATACTCGCCAACATTATCTAGTAGAAAACAGATTTTATAATAAAATATTGAAACATTTATTGTCGTGCTATGTCTTCGTAGCAAAGTATATATATTTTATATCGAGCATCTGTTTACGTGTCACGCGTTTAAAAGGATCGTTAAAAATCAAAGCATGAATGCTACGTTAATGAAATAAACAGATCATTGTACTACGTCGTGTGTACTTCGTGAAATTGTTTGTAACATTTACTGTACACTGTACGCACATCTATAGCATTGTCAGGTTAAATATTCAAAACGAAAGTCATGAGCGTGTATTATCATTTTACTCCTGTAAGTTGAATAAATGTTTCACAGCATCGCTTTTTCAATAATTTTTTTAATCAACATGGGTATAGAGTTAGTATTAAACAATAATAAACTATAAAACAAAAAACTGTAGTTAACCTAATTTACATAACATTTACACTATTTTACAATTGTGATATCCAATAATTTTCTGTATTTAATTAGGTTATAAACTTTGCCATTTTCCTTTCTCGCCTTTTACTTTGCCTTCTTTCAATAATTTATAAAGATGGTGTTGTATATTGTAGGCTGCTGCTTCCCACATAATATTCGAAGTATCCTAAAAATATCAAAATTTATATTACTTATTCTGTATTTTTAACACACATTGCGAAGTAAGAAATGACTACTACCAAGTATATATGTTTTACGATATCCATTTCAGTCAGTGTATTGGTTTTTGAATTTTCCTTTAAAACTCCTAAAATATCATTTTCTCTTTTTAGCCTATGCTGAATATAAAAATTAATACTAGCTATTGCATCTTTTATTACTATCCCGTGACCAGGATAAATCACTTCTGGTTTCAGTGCTAACATTTTTTCCAGGGATTTCATGTAACTGTATAAGTCTTCGAAGATAGCAGTCCTTTCTCCAAGAATACAATCCCCGCTAAATAATGCTCTTTCATCTAATAGTAAAAGAGACGCATGATCGCTCGAATGTCCTGGAGTATATTCAACAGAAAGTTTAGCACCTTCTACTTCCACTATCTGTTTGTCTGTCAATGGTTGCCAGTTAGTCGACTTTTCCTCTTCGCTTGTGCCTTTATCTTCTATAGATCTGGGTAATTTCCATATTATACTAGTTCCTGTAGGATTCATCGACTTTACCAAATTATAAACAGAATTTGCTCCACCCAAATGGTCATGGTGCCAGTGTGTTATTATCAAGTGCTCTATTGTAGCTTTTTCTTCCTCTAATACATTACATAATACTTTAGTATATTCTTCTGCAGTTTTCTTTTCACCTGCATCAATCAGTATACGTCTACAACCGAAACACTTCTTTGCATTATTCCACATATTACTTCAATTCCATGAAAATAGAAAATTGACAATTGTTACCTGGTGCCTGTTCCAACAAGGTATGTATTTGTACCTTGCAATGTCATATGTCCTGGATTACATCCCAAGATACGTATTACCCTATTAGACAATCTTGAGATCAAAGGTAGATCTGTGAGAGGTTTCATATCTAAAATCTGATTCAATCCTTAAATAGTACTAAATTTGCTGTTTTTTTGCACTTAGTGTATACGTGAACACATTCAATTCAACTAGTAAAACATGTAATACTGTGCTAATACTCATCATCCTTTAGTAATAAGTATATCACAATTTTTTTCGTTATCTTTTACAACTCATTGTATCGCGTCTTAACCTTACAGTAACAGGCATGACTAAACATTGACACTTTGCAATAGATGGTAACATTTTCATCACGTGCTTACGACATATTCTTATCGTCTATTTCTAATGCTAAATACAACGTGATTTTCGTATTCAAATTACAAAGATACGCTAACTATGATTATAGTGAATAATGATTTGCCAAAACAACATGTAAAATTATCGTAGTATTAGATATGTTGTACTCGTTGACGCATTCGTGCAAATAGACGTCAGTGACGTGCTTGATTAGTCTGATCTAGTATTAAAAAGGGGTATCGTACGAAACCCTATTTTATTATTTCCGAAAATTATTTAGTGGTTTAAAAGAGCAATAAAGAGTATGATGTAAAATAAGGTATAAAATATATATGTACATATTTTTTATTTATAAAATAACTTTATCCATTGTAACAAAATAACAAATTTCAACAAAATACAATCATTATTACATAGTACATATATTATCTATACACACAAATTAATCATGAAATGTTACAGAATGTATATAGATTAGTGATCATTCGATATAACATGTATGTGTATAAATGTATACTTCATCCTTGATGGGTGTTAAGTCATCAGTGCATGTACTTACACTAATTCGCGTGCATCATCCTTCCACGAGAAGAAGGCACACGTGTTCATATCCCCACTCTTGCTGCAATCCGCTGATTGGCTGTCACCGATCCTCGTCATCGTTTTCGACCAATACCTGTGACTCAGCGGACTGCAACAGGAGTGGGGATGTAAACACGCTGTGCCTTCTTTCCGCGGAAGAAGGGTACGTGTATGTGATGTAGAAAAATTCAAAAATGTTATTAGTAAGTATGTATTTATTAATTGTTTGATGATTAATTCCAAACACGGCGGGCAGTTAATCAAATATGTAGGAAATGTGCAAAATATATTGTTTTAAAACATCTAAATGATAAAACAAATTTCTATCTCGATTCCATTTCCCTATCTAGTTTCTATAAGAATAACCATTTGCACAGCCGACTCTATATTTATAGTACTATGAGCTATAGTGATCGAAAGTCCGATTTTGCACTGGATAGACAGAGACGCATAAATGCTACATACTCTTTTTAACAAGTGCAAAATCACTCTCGCTCGCACTTATACTGTTTCTCGTTTAGCATGGCTTGTACTGGAGTCGATCGTGGGAATAGAATAAATTAAACTGATCAAATTACGTGATTCACCCTGTATAAATTGTTATAAATTGTAAGATAAAGTCAATATTACCTTTTGAAATTTCATTGAAATTTATTTTTGTGCATTTTGTTTCATCTATAATGAAAATCAAATTCATCAGTAAACAAGCAAATATATAGAAATGAGGTTCAGATTGTTAAAAGTTTGTATATATATCTTTAAAAGTATAAGTTACATATTATTTACACTATTCATAGTACAAAATTTGTATGTTGTCCATTATTGTAGATTAATATATTCCTCGAATGCAATCAAATTTAGAAAATTTGTTTTAGCATTCTGATACACTTCAATTTTCATTATGTCTCCATACTAAAATATAGTACATATATAAAGAAATATAAGATCATTAGATCGTGACATGAATTTTCATTGTAACATGTACAAAAGTTGCTCATCTATTATTCATTTTACTTAATAATATATTGAAAATCCAACAAAATATTATTACATATATATTTACTGAACATATCTGTGTAATTGAATATTCAGATCTTTATAAATGATCCAAAAAATAATTTATGTATAATTCCTATTTAGATTATGTGACAGAATATTGAGGAATGAAGTTTACACTCAGCTCATACAAATATAAGTAAATATACGAATTTTATATTATTAGTCTTACATTGTAACGCATTCAATGTATGTATAAGTGTGTGTGTGTGTGTGTGTGTGTGTGTGTGTGTGTGTGTGTGTGTGTGTGTGTGTGTGTGTGTGTGTGTGTGTGTGTGTGTGTGTGTGTGTCAGTCAACAACCTTTTGCAGATATCATTTGCAAAATATTGTCATTTTATTATGATAAATCAAAGGATAATATAAACTAATGCTGTTAGTTACAATGCTTACATTGACTATGTTTAATATTACATTTACGGGCATTTTTACATACTTTTTATACTGTTTAAAACAGTAATATTAATATAGCCAATGAAACTCATGTGGTGAGGTGTGTTATGTGTGTTGCGTATATGTATATACATCTTAATATATACGTATATTCTTCATTGAGTTACATGAGTAGCACTCTGTTCTATAAATTTCTAAGTACTTTAATAGTAACGAAATCTTTAAATATCTAATAAACAATTGGAAACTGGAACCATGCAGTAAGCATTGAACAATATCTTACATTTAATTAAACTAATATTTAGCTCTGTTCAGTTACTTTTATAGCCAAACCAATTTTACGATATTTAGGAATAATATTTCGCAGACGCACTACTCATTCGTAACCAAAATTAGATTAACCTAAGGAAACTGGAAACTATTATACTGTTTTGGTTTTATAAATTTAAGTTAAAAATAATTAAATACTCATTATAAATTTAAAAAATGTTTTATCCTCTTTCATCACTAACTTTGACAATGATAATTTTGACTAGTCTATTTTTACAGCAGCATATATCTTTCGAATAAAAGCATATGCTGCAAAGAAACCTATTGTGCCTGTTAATAACCAGAACGTTAGCACCATTAACGCCGTGTAACCAAAATATAATAACGTTGGGACAAGTTCTGATATTTCCAGGATTGTCATGAAATAAAATATGGAGTAGGCTAGGACGTATACAGCTGACCCTCCACTTACAATGAAACTTCTCCACCACCATCTGTAGTCCTAGTAACGTATAAACAACATCATGTATATACATATTTTATAAAAAGAATTTTAAATAATATAGTACTCACTTCTCCACATAACTGAAAGTAGACCATAACTATGGATATCTGAGAGCATGAAATGACAAGAATGCAAAAAACAAGAAATAGAAATCCAAAAAGGTAGTAGAACTGATTTTCCCATAATGCGGACAAAATGAAAAATAATTCTATGAATACAGCTCCAAAAGGAAGAATTCCGGCCATTAGTGTGCTGTAACAATTTTAATGGCACATTTTTATTTTTATACAACGAGAATTGTTCCGTATTAAAAAAAAATCCTGCACAGACTTTATAAACTTACCATAATACCGGATTCATATACCACAATTGATCAGGAACTTGTCTAGGAATTTGATTTGTTCTAACGGGATGCGTAAAAGGCTGTTTACGATATCCAAAGAAATATCCCAGATACACGAGAGGAAGTGATATTCCAAACCATAAACACAACAATGATAACATTGTTGTAAATGGAACTGCGCCAGAGCTATGCTTTCCCCATATAAAGAAATTTAAAAAGAAACAAGTAGTAAACACAATTCCAGGATAGAGTGTTGCAGTCTGCAATAAGTATAAAAATTGAGTACAATTTAATATTTTTTCAACAGTACGTCGACCTTTTATATTCTTACCAATAGTGCTGTCCTTCTCCATTTTCGACCGCGCATTGTTTTATAAAGTCGCGCAGAGAAATATCCAGCAATTAGACCAGAAAATACGTACAAAAATATTGCGCAGGTTCCAAGTGCACCTCTACTAGCAGGAGAAAGCATACCCAACATTGCAAAGACTAAAATATTTACGAAAAAATAATATAAAAATATCGACAATAGCGGAAATTCGTTGTATTAAGAAATATGGCCTTACATATTGTTATTAAAGTCATAAAAAATATCTGAATTCCACTGCCTATTACAGCAGCAAATAATCGAGGATTTGGTGGAGGTCGAAATACATCCCCATGAACTAGTTTCCAACCAGTTTCTTCAATTGTCTCGTCTAAGCCTGCTAAACTATCACTGTCACCAGCGTTATAACGTGCAATATCTCTTCTGAGAGTTCTAACCATGATCATTGTTAAAATTCCTATACAATTTTAATAAAGAAGAATATTGTCCATACAATTTCAAATAACAAGTAGAATTAAAAACAAGTAGAATATATTTACCAGAAAGGAAAAGAACTACAACAAGAGAATTGATGATTGAAAACCAATGAATTTCAACATCACTCATTCCTAGATATATGTCCCATCTGCTTGCCCAACTTACATCAGATTCCTTCCAATCCACAGAATATAAGAATAACAATTTAGTCCCTTTAGGATTGACAAATTGAGGATTCGCATGTGTAGGTAACGTACAAGTATTTCCATCGAATTTTAGCTGACTTATATCAACTGATCGAGCTTCTACTTCAAAACCAACCACTCTAAATTCATTTCTGAAAGTAAAGAAAACAGCTAGTCTGGTACATTATTCTACCTATGCATTAATGCGATCAATACTAACTCTCCGTATTTATGGTAGCTTAATTTTAGTTTAAGGTAATTATTGATGTAAAACTGATCATTTATGATGCCTCCCAAACGATATCCATGATATACAATTACATTGTTTGTATCTTTATGGACCTTTTTTGTTGCTGCTGGTAAATTGTCAATTAACCTATGAAAAAAATGAAACAAAATTTGTTACATAGATAAGTCAAACATGTTATAAGAAAATATGTTACATTATCAAAAAAAAAACGTATTAGAAATATTGTATAAAAATTGCCAGCTAGATAGGAAATTTACAAATTAAAGAATTGTAATATTTTCTTTTTTTCTGATAAAGTTAACATTTTTTAAGTTGTGTAATTTTTCTTGTAGGAATGCAGTCATTAAAATCTTAAATTTTCTTACAAATGCACGGTATAATCGTGTTGAATGCGTTCTATGACACGCTGTGACTCTTCTTCGTTCCATGTCATACTAGTGGATGATTCGTGACATAATAGTCTGCAAACTACATCTTCTGCCATTAGTACCTCGTATGGTGTATTTACAATTCTGTATAAATATAAGTCATATTAATATTTGTTAATATAGATAAGACAATTAACTAATCTTACCTATCGCCACGTAATACTTCTCCTAAATTTTCAGATTTATAAATAAGAGTTCCATTTTTTGGTCTGCAAAAGGGAACAGAATAATATTCGTAAGGTAACTGTGTATGGGTACTGGTCATTTTAACTGCTTTGACATCGATCTTTTGCCCCTTTTTAAACTCCACGGGAGCAACACCAGGCACATAGAAGCCATTTGTTTCAATTAATAAAGATATTATTACAAGCACAGCACTATTCCTTAACCTTCCCTGTTAACAAAAAATAATATAAGTAATATAATGTGTTATTATCAAATTAACAAATAATTTCAATAGCATCTACAGAATTACGACAAATACGTATTAATAAAATGATTTGTTTTTAAATATATAAAAATTTATAAACAATAAAATATGAACGTAAAATATGTATGATTATATAAAAAAATTAAACAAATTTTAATTATCTATCATAATTAGCAAGATCGATGTTCAAAATATTGTTATCGTAATTATAATAAACAGTGTCTTTAAGTTCTGTTAAGAACCGATACATTTGTTCTTTATGAATACATTCGTCGCGAACTTTGGAAAATATAACAACGAATATAAAACGCCACGTCAATTCACTAAAGGTATTAATGTCGTAAGATCGATCTTAACACTTTTTAAAAATGAATTATATGCAATAGCACCTACCATTCTACAATGTTATTTTCGTTAAAGGCGCGCCACGCCGTGCCTTTTATTTTATTCCTGATATTGCTCGCAAAGTTCCCACTCCGTTCACGTCAAAAATGAAATTTACTTCAACACGAAGTTTGCATCGAAACATTTGTCAGAAAAGTAATTCCATGAAATTCCCTACGAGATATGTGTCACGCTTACAATTTACATGCATACAGGTATACATATAACAGTGCATTGTTCGTTGTAAGCGCGATATCTGCTAGCATGCAATCTGTTAATTAAATTATGTTGAACAGAACAAAAATTCTCATACATAATAACGCATTTTTATGTTATAACATTCACAGCCAATGTAAGAAATATCGTAAAGAATGAAATACCTTTTCCGCGCACTGATAATTTCATTTATCCGCAGTTCGTTAATATGAGACTGTATTTCATTAATGTTTGTACAATAATTTGCATTCTGATTGCAACTTATGACTGATTTAACTTTAGAAAAGAATTTATCAATCGATTAGCATGCTGTTCGAAACATTAATTTACCATATATAAATCATTCGTTATCATATTTATTCTTGAAATTCCCGCAATTTTTTATTACCGTAATCGGAAAGGAAGTGAATCTTTTATAAATGTAAAGTATCGTTTAATTGTCAGTTTATCAATCGAAATAGCATGTTATAAATTAGGAACGTATTAAAATTATTATTTTTAGTTGTTCGGAAATTTATTTCTATTAAAACATAGAAACAGTTATACCATATAATAGTTAGTGTTTTGATCAGGCTTTTCCGAGCGAAAAAATATACCCCCGAAAAGGAAAATATCGTCCCACGTGGGGACTCGTTTAATTACAAGTTACGTTATTTAGATATGCGTCTGTTCGGTTAATTTTTATTTCAGAACAATGGTGCAGGTGAGTGGAAACTTTTAAGCATATTATATCGATAAATTTCCGTTGAGATTGTCTAAAGCAGTGCATTTTTCTATCGGGTCTATTGGGAATTTTTGATTGTTTTTTTTTTTTCCGCTGTCATCCATTAGTAAATAGGAAAGATGGCAGCAGATTATTGCGCTTTTTTCCCGTACATCCGCGAATCCGACATTTTTCTTAAAATTAAGCCTTTCCGCAAATTTTCACGCGAAAGTCATTCAAAAACATTGGATACGGTTCAGTTTTACGAACAGAATTTATCGCGTACTTCAATTTTTAAAATGAAATACGGTTAATGTTGAGCCAAATAGAATACATAATAATTTTTACGTGCCGGACTTGTGTCAAATACGGTATAAGACGACATAGAAATATTAAGGGATTCTGTTAAACGTTACTGTGGTTAATGACGATACGAAGTAAAAATTTGAATGTTTCATCAATGGAGAATATATTGTTAATTACTTATTTATAAATATTCCGTTTTTATTTTGTTTGAAATATGACGAAAATGAGGGTACATAACTTTCTTTTTTACTATAAATACATGTGTTGTAAGTGTTATGTAAAATGTTGTAATTATTTTTCAAACGAAAAAATTATGTTTTTGCAGGCAATCGATGAGATGGAGCAAAGGGATCTCCCGCAAGCATTCCGCCTGCTTGGGGAGATGAATGCCAATGTCTTACAAGTAAATCAACTTGTAGATAATATGTTGATTCGTGTAAAAAATGGGGAAATTTCTACAGACAATGGTCTTAGTTTCCTAGAAATGAAATATCATATGTTAATTTCTTATCTGATTAATTTGACTTATGTAGTTTTAAGAAAATGTTCAGGAGAACGTATAGAGGGAGATCCATCGATTGATCGTTTAATTGAAATCAGGACTGTCCTAGAGAAAATCCGACCAATAGATCACAAACTTAAATATCAAATAGATAAGCTCGTTAAGACTGCTGTAACTGGTACTACTAACAATGACGACCCAAGTAATTTTAAAGCAAATCCCGATGCACTGATTGCCAAGATTGATAGTATCGATGAAGAATCGGACAGCGATCAGGATGGCGAAGTAGATGGTTTTAAATCGACACAATCGAGGAAGTCCAATATTTATGTACCACCAAAACTTGCCGCAGTACACTATGGTTAGTACATTGTATACAAGTATAGTAACAATATACAATTTTATGATATAGCAAAGTGTAAAGCTTAACTTTTATTATTGTAGATGGAGATGAGACAGTCGCAGAAAAGGTTCGTAAAGCTGGTGAAAGAGCTCGTAGACGTGCAGTGTCGGGTGCTGTTTTGAGGGAATTAAAGGAAGAATATTTAGATGCACCTATCGAAGACACGCATGGTCTAAGCGAGAAACAAGTCAGCCTCGGCCGTGAGAATAAACGAAAGATAGAATACGAGGAAACTTACATGACTCGTTTGCCAGTCACTAAACAAGAAAAACACAGACGCCGTCAAATGACAACTCTTGGTACACTTGGAGAAGAAATAACATCTTTTGGGGAATCATCTACTGTGTCTGATAAAAAAAGAAAAACTCAGAAAAAAGGCAAAGCTAAAAAAAGTAAGTCAATTCGTTTTGTTAAATTTTTGTTTTCTACTAACAATTAATGTTCATTAAATAATTTCATCTGGTTTTTGTAGGTTTCAAGAAAAAACGGCATCACTAAATCAACTTTACAATAATTTAAAAAGCTGAATTTCGTACAGCATTAATAATTAAGGTAAAACGCAAAAAATTTACTTCAATTCTTCTTGACAAAAGCAGATGCCATTAATACTCGTTAATAAGTTAAGCTAAATAACTCATAACATCTAGTAATAAAAAAAACAACCGTCGACGGTAAAGTAAAATAGCACGATGGTAATTTATTACTGCATAAGACATACTAATGGTCGTGTAATTGATAATTATAGTTAATAATGATTTTAACCTTTAATTGTTGTCTGAAATCAATTTTTATCTATGGAGTTGAAATATTCCATGAAACGCAAGAAATAATATTCCGAGATGTGAAGAATAATGTCAAGGTACATACGAGCTTAACTTATAATTAAAAAAATTACGTGTAACCGTGACACAATTAATCAAATAATGGATTTCGGCTCCAAGATCTAAAATTGTAAATTAAACGTAAAAGTTGAAAGCAGAAGATTTTTCTGCTTTATTTTGAGATATTCTCCAGCTATAGGAAAAAAAAAAAAACTGGTAACATAGCAGGAGGGATGATATTGAATTAATTGTTACAGAAGCGTAAAAATCACAAGACATTCAGTGCAAGCATTAGAAAATTCAACTTTAATAAAGGAAAATGTCTCTAGAAATTGCAAATATTCTGCAACTTCTAAGAATAATGTTCATCATGCGATATCGCATGTCTTAGGATTTTCTCGCTATTTTAGAGTAGTGAAGTAGTTACTAGTTTTACTATTATATGTATATTTCGTTTGTGTTTTTCCCCTGGTGAACTGTTGAGGCTATTATATCTCGATGTGAGTCATATTTTATGTTAAGTTTCTTTGTTTACAATGTGTCCGTGCATTGTATTTGTTGTTTTAACTTTAAAATTGATTTGGTTAAGTCGTTAAACTTATATTAATGGTAATATAAGGATAACACGAATGTGTCAAAATTCAAAATTGATGTCGTCAATTTCTCGAGTACTGTTTAAGTTTACTGTGTTTAGTTTCTTAGGGAGGGGGTATGTGTGATATTGGAATAAAAACTAATATACGAAGACTAGAGCGAAAATCACTTCTGCAATAGAATAAAGTGGTTGTACAATCAAATTGCAGGAAGTATCCGTCTCTTGCGCTTAAATAGGTTCCATTTTTTAAATATTAGATATAACTATTGGGTATCTTTTTAAACCCAAAAGTAATGTTTCCTTTTAAAATAAAGGAAAGGGTAATGTTATATGCATTTAATACAGATCGTATATGGATATCTATATCCATTGCTCGTTCCTGCAGAAGTGATCCGCATTACCTTCAAAAGTACTAATTCGCTATATGCTAACCAAGGGCTCAACCATCCATAGATGTTATATTTTTTACAAAAGTGTTCATAGATTGAGCCAACTTGGTAATGCATGATGTTACATGTGCCCTCTCTTTTTCAATCTGTGAAGACGATTAAAATGTGATAAATTATTCATGAAATAATAGTTAAAGAAACTAACAAAATAGCACAATTGCTGGGCATTATTTACAAGTGCTAGTAAGCCTAATGTCAGCAGCCTTGTCGTATTTGGTAATGAAGTTGGAATACTGAATAGCGGGAAGATTTTGACGCAAATAATGTCAAGGCATTCTTACAAAGTCTCATGCTCGTTTTACGTATGGCATGTACAAAATGACCGATGCAAAAGTCACAGTAGATTTCAAAATTTGCCCGACATTTAGTTTTCTCATACTTTATACATAGATGATAATTTTTGAAACACACTTACAACTGAAATAACTGTAAGTCCAAAATACCGATTTGTGTGAGTGCGTGTGTGTGTATATTTATATATACATATATACATAGAACATATTCCTTCGTTTATACATTCAGAACTGTTTATAAATATTGATAAAAGAATATCGTGTTGTTTACAACAAATAAGATTATTACTGAGAATATGATCTGAAAATATTTACATACTTACGATTGCATCTGTTTATTCAGTACAAAGTTTCCTAACATGCTTTGCATATTTTGGACTTATAGTGAAAGTGTATGGGTGTGAAAAATGTTCATATGATACACATATCCGCACACAACATATAGCAGCAAAGTAATAGGATTACATTGAATACACTACCTCAAATCAATAGAAATATGGATTTACAGTAATAGAACTGCATCAGTTACGTTTACATTGTTGTGTCATCATTTATTTATATATTTACTGATACCACCATTCTGTTGCGAGATATAATGGAATATATTATGCCTTATGGAGAGAAGTGTCTAGGATTTGTTATCTTTGAACCTGCTTAGCAGGTGCGAATCTTTTAATGATGTACAAAGAAAGCACAAAGTATGTAAACGTCACTGTGGGCAGTGAGTTTAAAGTAGTCCTTCAAATCCAACAACGCTGCCGAATACCAAACTAAAAAAAAATAACAAGATATCTTTGCAGCAAAAACGAGATAAGGATGATTTATTGACTACATTTATAGTCTGAAGAATGTAATGTTTCATTTATTGGTGAAATTTCTATAATTTATGTACTATGACAATTCAATGTGTGTGAACGAGCGATAGAGAAAGATGGAAAAATGAGAAAAGGAGAGAGAGTTTACCTGTATATTACAAATGGTTATTATGGACGAATTATTATTATTATTATTATTATTATTATTATGAATTACTATTATTATTATAATTATTATTACATTATGATCATCATCATTGTCATTGTCATCATCATCCGTCATTCATCATCCATCATTATCATCACCATCATCATGTAGAATGCTTCTTACTGACTGAATAAAATGTTTTCAATGTCAATAATTGAGTTATACAAACAATTTACCCCCAACCCCCATTGCTGTTTGAAAATCATAGTTTTGAATGTTAAGAGTGGTACATGGTATTCTGTGTCGGTTGATCCATTTGCTAGTGATTTTTAAGCGTCATGTTGGTATTATTGTATTAAATTTAAGATACTCGAGTATACCTTCGCAACGTATGTCAACGACACATCTCACCGATTTCTTTCGGACTGTCTGCCTGTCGTTGATCCGTGGCACGGCCGACGTGGTGGTAAGTCACTTCCAACGATAAAAATTCAAGTAAAAAAATAATACTTGTTGATCGTAGCGATACATTTAAAACCAGGTGTCGAGTATTTCCTTGACATGACATATATCTTTTACCTCTCATAATTTTGGATTTCGTGTCAATGCTAGATGTGTCAATCATTTAGTATTGCGTGATTTATACGTAAGGCAGTTTGTTTATTTCATATACATCGTTTTTTTTGCAAAACATTCAAATTTAATTCATCATAATTTTTCTGTCCATTCCCTTCCTTCACATCTTTCGGTCTTCTTTTCCGCCCTTCCTTTCCCCACTCTTGTTTTCTCCTTTCTTTTGCTTACCATCTTTCTTTGTTCGTTGTACATTTTCCCTCTTCTTCCAACGTTCCCTGCAAGATGTCGAAAATGCCAGCGGCGCTCACATGGGTACCGTATAAATTATTTTTATCGCTACGTAGACTACGGTAAAATAGCTTGCTGTTGTAAAGACCGTACGTTTGACACCATTCCCGACAGGTGTTACGAACATTTTTGAAATTTATACTGCTACATTAGATTTTCAGTTTCTTTTCGTTTGTTATCGGTTATTATTTTCTTCATAACCACCCACCTTTCCGTGGTTATTTTTAAATCACCCGCGGCGCAGAACTACACGTTGAAAGTTTAGGAGAATACTCTGTTCAAAGTGTTTGAAGAATTTTATAACCTAAAGAAAAGGAATTTATTTAGATTAATAAATATGAACTGTTCCTTTATAATTTCGTTTCCGTATTTAATCTCACTTAATATTGATCCCACAAATAATTATCACGTCTGTTTCATTGTTAAGTATTAAATATTATTAAAACTTTTTTGTAATATTTAAAGAGAAATTGATCGAATAAAATTGTTAACATTGTATTATTACTTTTTTTAAGATTGCAAACAATGGCTGCAACGCAACTAAGCAGGGCTCGAACAATCAAGAAAGTCGAAAAACCTCGGCCACTTAAACTCAATCAACGCCACTCGATCGTCGATGGGCGGATGACGACTGGTAGTTTTTAATTTATGTATTTTAAATCTAAAATGCAAATATGTACCATGATTCGGACTAAACTTTGTTTGTTTGACAGTGGAGGACATAGTGTCCTTAATCGACAACGTTGCAATGCAACTAACCAATGGCTTCCATGACCGAACGCTGCAAATGAATGTGGTTACAATGTGTAATCATTTAAAACTTTTTGCCCATCAATTAGAAGCTATTTATAAAGGTACAGACTTTTAATATTATACTTGAAATAGTTGATTCTATGATAAAACTCTAGGTTAATCAAAGTATTAACAATGTAGATTTTATTCTCAATAATGTTAATTTTACGTATAGATCAGTTGGATAGAGCTTTTGTGGCGATCAGAAATGGAAGTCAGGACGAAAAACTAGATCTGACGACTAGGGTTCACCTGCTGGAACTTATAGAGTTAAGAGCTAAGCAGTGGCGTCACAATGATTCTATGGATGTGTATTACACACAGAAGTTATCACATTTGGATAATGTATGTCAAGTTTTTTCTATTATATATATGTATATATCAAGGATTTCATGAAAAAGTTAAAAATGACATTAACAGGCAGAAGTGATTCCTGACACACCTACGAGTGCATTGTCATCTCCTTTGGCGGCAATGAATTCACCCACTGTGGCACCAATTTTAGGACCTGGTGAAGTGATAAAAAATAGTGGGAAATTTGTTAAACCTACACGTATTCCTGGGAAAAACTACTGCAAAGATGAAGTTGTTATACGTAACAGTGATTCTGGAAAAGGTAAAGGAAATTTTACAAGCTTTATATATTCGGTTAATAATATTTATATTATAGCAGAAAAATACGTGTAAAGCTTTGTAAAATGTAGAATACGGCCGATTTTAATTTTTAATTTATCATGTGCTATTGTTTTGGATTTGTTCTTCAATATGTTTTGTATCATGTTTATTTTATACATCGTTTTTCACACGTATTGTAAGTAGTAAGTATTATGTTTCTATTTTTAAATTATTTGCACAAAAATACAGTGATGGGAATAAAAGGGCGGCGGGTTCACATGATCGAAGAGCTCAGCCAGACAATCATCTCCTTCCAGCGAGGTAAACAAATAATTTGCAGATGGCTTGATAGCATCATGCTCATGCATTACAAAAATAACTAATTGTATATTTTTTTTAACGTCTATTATCTTAAATGTTTTTATTACAACAACAATTTTTAACGAGGCAATTGAAACTGGAATTTCTGTTTCTGTAATTATATAATTTTTAAATTATTTATCGCACATGATGAAGTAAATATTTTGTTTACAATATCACAGAAGAAGGTATGAGTCTAGGTATTGTATTGGGTGGAATTAAATATTATTCCCAGTTATATTTATAATACAGTATCTACAAGACACAAGAGATTCATATTTTAATATCAGTTTATGACACTTTTCTGAAAAAAAGTATTTGTTTAATTTCATAAGTATAACTTGTGTTTTAACCTGTGCTTACTTTTATTTGCATGAAATATTTTAATTTTTTTTATGTTACCTTTTAATTAATCGGTGAAAGAGTTGTAATACATAAATGATTGAAAATGTGCTGTAAGAGCTTTTGAAGTTTGATTGCTCACATAATTTTTTTTTATCGTTCATTTGTTTTTATTACTATTATTATTATTATGTGAGTATCATTAGTATGATAAGTGATATGCATTGTGTTTGCATCTTACTAAGTCACATTTATGTAAGTATAAAGTGTTATGAGCAGCATTTTATGTATTTAATACAATTGACTTTATCGCTTATAATTGCTTATAGTACCAAATGCACTTGAAGATTACGTTACCTTCCTTTCACAGGAAAACTCGTATACAATTAATATTAATCTACTTATTATTGTTTTAATTCACAAATAATTGTCTCAAAGTGTCTGCAGGAAGCCGCGTATTTAATACATTTCTATTGAGATGTAATCTCACACTTATACACCATATATTAACCATAACGCAGATGATTATTTCTGAAATAAATTAATTTTGATTTTAACAAGTGTTTGGCATCTTATTAATATCATAAATTATATTAGCTCAATATTGTTCTTTTTCACAGTAAACCCTGGAGCCAAAGAACGACTTGTCCAAATCACGGGTACTTCCGAGGACAAGATACAGTAAGTACAATTTCGTTTTCATTCAAATTTATTAAACTTTCGAAATCTATAATAACGTTAAGTTATATAAGATATATAACTTATTTCTGAAATATTATGGTAATAGTTATGCGAAGGACTTGATAAAAGATACGATTCAACGAAATGCATCGCCGGTGAGATTGGAGCAAGGTGGAGGAGAAAAAGGAGCTATGGGTGGTTCTAGTTCTTCGTTAAATAGTAGTGCATCAGATGAAAGTAATCGATTGCAACATCAACAACAAAACTCTCGTGTACGTTCACTCCTCCACAGCTTCTCCACCAACGACGCCAGTATAGGCGAATATAAATATACAGTTACAGTTGGTAATCAATCTCTAAAGATCACAGGATGCAATCTAGATCTTGTCAGGGTAATAATTCTTGTATTTTAAAGAATATGTATTTATAAATCATTGTTTAATGTACGTATATTAACATGTGTTAAATGGTATGTATCTTAGACTGCAAAGTTAGTCTTAGACGAGTATTTCTTGGGAGATACTGAGAATTTCACAAGCGGTATAGAATACTTCAATTTTGAAGAAGAATCTCCTTATTCGGTCTCGTCTTGTAACACACAAAAAACATCGTTAACCCCAAGTAATACCAATGAAATAGGCCGAGAACTAAATATGGATAGTGCTGCAACGTCAGAAAGTGAAGAGACATATAAACCTCGTATAATTTCCGAAATAAATCCTTCGACTCAGGAAGGTAATTGTTTCAAATGATTACTGTTGCTTGAGCGATTTAATTACCGTGAATAATTATTTATTAGGCATCTATCTAGTTCCAGAAGTCAGAGAACTCACGTACGAGTTTTTGTTGTTGTGTTCAACAGGCCCATATGCCAAGCGGCCGCCCGCGGATTGGGCTCGTATTCAAAAGGAGTGCCCCAACATTGTTCGCAAGGTATATCAATGTGATACCAATGCTAATCACCTGAAGTGCAACAATGTTACTAATTTTTCTTACAAAATGACACGCGTTTAATCCCTCGAAATTAACGGTATTTGCACTATAGTTAACTATATTTTAAAGTTACGTTTGTCTTCTATACTGAGATGTGTTAATACTAAAATAACTGTTACATTTTTGTCTGTTATCTTGACGATACTCATATAAGAATATTAATTATTATAATAGTACTGAAAAGGATATTAACATGATAGAATCAAACAAGTTTCTTTCATTAATTTCAAATAATTAAGATCATGGAATAATTATTTGACAATTTACTATTTCTATTGATCAGGCCAAATTCTGTTTTAAACTTATATTTCCATTTCTCTGTAAATGCGAGATTATGAAATTGGCAATTCCAAATGACATGTTCATAAAAGTATGCACTAACAGATTCCTGTGCATGACGTATGTCTATGTGATCAGTTCAAATAATTTTGATGCACGTAGCACCTTCTAAGTCATCTGTAATCGTATGAACAGAGTTATTTGAACCAAATGTACTTAAACCAAAGATTATGTCACTATCATGAATGACGTGATATTTCATATTACGAAGAAAACTCTTATGTTGACAGTATTATATAGAGAATTTGAATGTAAGATTTTTTTTTATATATATATATATATAATAATTTTACAAATATGGTAACATAATTTGCATCAGGATTATACTAATAACGATATTAATGAATGCTTATACTAATATGTATGTATAAGTTATACATTGTATTAATATATATTAGTAGTCTACATTGTATTAGTACAATACGTCTGATTCATTATAGTTGCGATATAGTTTTGCATTACATAGTATCATTTAATAGGATACACGGAATTGTTTTACTTATGTTTTTATGTTTTACGTTATTGAAAAGATATAGATCTAAATATTTTCGTTTATTAAATAAAAGCATATTTAACAACATAACTGAAAAGTGAAAATATGTTATATTTGTTATAAGAAATATGATCTTTACTTTGTTCTTATACAATTATATTTTTCGTTTTTATATTCCATAAGTATCATAGTTTCTATAGTTGTACAATTTCCTATTAAATGAATTTAAAAAGGTATTATCGCAATTTTTATTTTTACTATCGTTATTATCGTCGTCGTTATTGTTGTTTTTGTTATTATTAGTATTATTAGCATTAGCGTTAGTATTAGTACTAGTGTTAAGCATCATGTGAAAAAAAAAAGTATTAAATTTTATACATTATCTGAGAGATTAAAAATGATTTAATGTGTGAATATTATTGTATAACTTTATGAGATTTCAAAGATAATAAAGCATTTTTACTTCTTGTATTTTCAAGATCGTATAACACAAATATTGTAATAAAACTATGACAAATTCTTCTTTTTTATTTAAAAATTAAATTGAGAACGTTTGTATAAATACGACAGGAAGGCATGCACGTATATAAACTATTTAACACTCGCTTTACGAATTTAAAGCATGCTGCTTGTAACAACGTACCGAGGTAAAGTAGACATTAAAGTATTTCTTACTATATACGTAGTACTACATTATCGTCAATAATGTACATTAACAACAATTCCTTTTTGTCACAGGCACCGATTCGCTGGTTCGAACCGGGAGCATATAAAGCTAAGGTAGCAGCTGCTGGTCTTATTACAGTATTGCCGGTCGGAGAAGGAGAAACTGATCCGGAATGAAGTCGAGAAAGTAACGTTTTCGATCGTCGAGAAATCGTATGTATTAATAGTAATCTTTACATCGATCTTTTATGTCGATGTATTGTGATAAATTTTCAAAAAAAAAATTTCAGTATATTGTTTGTTCATAAATGAACATGATATACACAAGCTCTTACAGAAATACATATACGCCCGCGCGCGTGCATGCACTACATACGTATATATATACAATTATATATATATGTATAACGTTCCGTAAGACAGATAATATGTATTGCTCAATTCAATTATAGCAATACAAAATATGTAATATAAATGTCGAGATAAACGATAATATTTATAAATTTGTGCGTGTTTAAATCGTAAGTTTTCTCTAAAGAATTGTAATATTTTTTTTTAAGCATTTTGTGCTGTTAAAAATTCGTGAGGTTTCGTTGTACGCTGCTACTTAATTTCTATTTAATCAAATGCGTGAACTGCAGCAAATATTTTTATCGTATACATGATTTCTGGCATATCAAACATACGTACCGTTTTACGTATTATAGGAAATTAATTTTTGAATTTCACTCTTATTATTGGAATATTCGCAAATACGTTTAAACACTTGTGACGGACAGTAAGGCAGTTTTAATGATGCTTAGCATGATAGATTAATTTGCAGTACTCGTGAAAGTTCAACTTATGGAAATTATCTATGAATTATGTTCAGCATTTTTATTAATAATTTTCAATGTAAGCTAAACAGCTTAAGTGTAGAAGTTGAATAAGAAGAGAAAAATAATTCTAATTCAGGAAAAATTTTTACGATAATTATACTAACAAATTGTTTCTATAATTAAAGAGAAACTGATTTTAGAGTCTAATTTGAATAAGTTTTTGAGAAATGTATCTTTCCACGTGTAACACTTCTCTTATTACACGTAACAGACATAACAAAGTAATGGAACGGACAGTGATTTAGCATAGTCTAGTCTACCTATTTAAAGTAGGAACTACCATTTTGGTAATTACTCTGCTGTGACATAATAACCAAAAAAAAAGGTTTCATTTAATCTCAAGATTTTATATTTTATACACTAAAATGGTGATGCTTATGTGCAGTATGTAATATTAATTGTATGGACAGATTTTTTTTTTTACACAATGTGTAGCATTCATTTTTAATGTTGCACATGTATTAAAGAAAACTTGTCTAGTAATATTATTGATCCATGGTTGTAGTTTTGTCAGTTTTTTTATCAGACACAAAATTTTATGAAAAGAAAGTATTTTTGTATTCCACCACTATGTCTGTTTTTAATTAAGCTTCTAATATTTATTAAAAATGTTTCGTTAGCCAGAACATAATAACTTGCACATATATTTTTATTCTTTCGTAATTATATTTTGTTATAATTTTCCTTTTGTCGTATTATTTAAATTTCTTATTTTTTTTTAACCTTTTAAAGGTTGCGTTCACATGTTTTTCATTGTTTTCTGGCTTGAAACATTTCTCGAAAGAAAAATATATTATTTATTTAATTTGAAACTAAATCGTACTGCACGGATATGGGACGTTATGTTTGTAAGTTTTTACATCGTTTAATATTTATTACAAATTTACACGAATATCTGAATTAAATTATTAGTAATTTATTTCTACTATCACTAACTGCAGTAATATGTTATATTATTGTACTTTGCTCTTTAGTAATAAATCGATAAAAATAAGAACATCATTCAATTATGTTTTTTTCACCCTACAGTACAACGAGTTTCAAGTTTATTATCAGTGGCTAGAACTGCTACTTGTAAATCATTCGATCACGTTCGTTTCCAATCGCGGTGATTTTTCGTGATTGCTGGTAGAAAGCACAACTGTTTTTTGAACTTACAGCGGTCTCGGTCGTGGTGTAAAATACTACAGCATTCAGTGTTCTTAAGAAATTTCAGTTGTAGATTTTAAATCATAGACGAGGTATACAAGTATGTATTGTGCGTCCGCGAGAAGTTGGCTAGCAAAAGGAATGTTGGTTTGATTGGTGCCTAGATTCCCACACTATATTTTCATATCAACGAGAAATACATTTTTGTTCTATTCATAGTTAATATTTTGAGTTTACTATATGATTATACCAATGTCGTTCAATATGATTCTATCCTATTCTGTCTCGATACGTTTTATTCGTATTCTTCGTCACGCGATGTAATCGTAGTTGTGATCGACTCAACCAATAATGACAATGCATGTGAGAAAAGGCGCCGCTATCACACTACAGCCAATCAGTGTGCTTAGCTATCAAGTTATGGTATGGTGTCGAGGCAAGAGAGCTCGTACGTAATTGGCTGCTGTAGAAATTGGAGCCGTAGAAATGGCGCGAGGAGGATTTAATATGGCGGGAACTGAATACGAGAAAGTGGAGTCGCACGAGAAACTTGATTGTATGTATTGGCAAAACAGGAACCGCGATAATCAGTTATTAAATTGAATTTGTATCTGTAAACGTACGATCAAAAGTACCAACCAGAGATGATTTGTTAGCTAAACATCTACAAACTGAACAGCACAGGAGCAAGGGGAGTAGGTCACTCGCTCTGCCTAATTCCCGCATTTTGAGGATTGCAGTTTCAAATTCACCTGCCTAAATCATGCGCGAAGGTATTCTGCTTCGTCTAATTCGAAGTAATCCTTTAGTTCACGAAACACTATTTGAGAATTTCACCGTGGCGCGTAACGTGGTCTTACAGAAATGGAACTCAACGTTGATGGTACGCAAGCTGTGGAGTGGCGCTGTAAAATTGTGTCTGGAATTAGCAATAAGGTGTGTAAAGCAGCACCACAGACGAGGTATACGAGTAGACTTTTCACCTTATGGACTTTCGCGGCCGAATCTGACTGCTATACCGACCTAAAAATGCGGAGTTGATTTTAGCGGTCTCTTCTCATGGATGGCGGTCAGTTGAGAAACTATTATTTTAGTAGTTAAAAGAGGCAGACGACCTGACGTCGTACTGCTGGAAAAAATGAAGACTTTGTCCTGAAGGATCTGGCCACGGAGTGTGGAAGGCGTGGGACCTTCCGGTAAGAGCACTGTGAGGAACGGCACAGGACTTACCCCAGAACCGTCAAAGGCAAAATTTCTAACATACAGGCATGTCTCTATAAATTTCAAATCCATTAATCAATATGAATTTGTGATATCATGTCAGCCAATTTCGAAAATATGGTTTCGAGAAAAACTCATTTAAAATTTCTGGTATGATTATTAACCGTTGGGTACTCTTCCCTCTAAATGGCTATAATTTTATTATTTTTACGAATTTTAATGAGTCTACGTTTATTATAATTGCTAAATGAAGAGGACGAGTTCCGAGTCAAAGATGAGTTGCGGGGTTTTAAAAAAGGACAGATTTGCAGTTTTGTTCTCATTAATGTTTGCAGCGTGTTTGCGAGGGATGTGTCCGATATATACATATGTATATAATCAATTCATTTTCCTTCAATAATTCTCCATTGCAAAAATTCTACAGTATTCTTACATTTTTTTATATTTTAAAATTTTTCCATGTTATTAGAAAGTAGATATACGACGGAAGTTATACAACTTATAGTTCCTAGCATGTATAACATGTATATGTATATAACGCATAGTCGCTTCGTATGGAAAGTCAATGAATCTTCAAAAAGCGCCCAGGTCCGATTTCGAGAAATGTAAGGTCTGTCAGTCACGATGGCTTTTGTCGTTTACTGACGATTCGAACGGGTGGCGATGCCAGCAGGCTTGCTTTCGAGAAATGTAAGCGACGTCAGCGATGCAAGAGCGAGAAGGAAAGCGAGTATCAGCCTGTTCTTCTCGGCTCTTCCGAAACTCAACGAGCTCACGTACACGCAATTGGGCATAGTGTGCGAAAGTGAGGAATGAGAAGTTTCCGGGGCCCTGATGCACAGTCTGATTAAACTGATTTCGAGTCGCAAATACGTTTCTGCCGAGTTATTTTTTTAATAAATGATGTATTACAATTTAAAATAAAAAATAGAGAATTTGCGGTGTACGTATCAATGAAATACATCCTTAGGAATTTTAATAATCTTGAAATTTTTAAATACTCTTAATCGATTGATTTCTCCAATGAAATTAATCGATTAATGTCCAATGATAGACCTTACAGCTTTAATTCCGTTAAAAAATAATAAAATTTATGTAATTTTATTTTCTGTCTCACTTCCTCTTGTGTTAATTTCTGAATCTGTTGATAACGTTGCGAGTGACACGAAAATGGTAATGGGGTCCCGGGACCCCAGAAACTCCGGCCGAAAAATTACATTAGGTGAAAGGTCTATTCCTATACCTCGTCTGTGGTGAAAGGTCTACTCGTATACCTCGTCTGTGGCAGCATAAACTGGTGTATAGACCTTACATTTTATGAACTTTCGTGGCCCAATCTGACTGCCATACCGACCTCAAAATTTGGAGGTGATTTTAGCGTCCTCTTTTCATGGATGGCGGTCAGTTGAGAAACTATTCACTGAATTAGTGTGGACAGGTAGCTGTAGCGTGTGCATAAATACATGTGAATTGACTATAAGAGGGACTGGAAAAGGTAATCTAGTTAATGTGGCAACCATGGCGATCGGAACGCCGCCAGGTGTTCATACTTGTTTTGTACAAACTCCCCAGAGAGACACATACATTAAATCGTCGTTGAACAAAGTTATTTTTTGTTACTTAAAACGTACATCGTTCTTTTGTGTCACCAACGAATATTTCTTAATATTAATTAAAAGATCTCTCACATTAAATACATATATGCTGCCATCTGCACTGCAGATTGTGCAGAGACGCAGAGAGGTTTCTGGTGTGAGCAGACGAGTCTTGTAAGGTTAGCGTTTATGAGGTATGTAACGCCTGGGGGAGCGTGTGTGCAATGTAATGTGCGTTAAGTTTTTAGAATTATAATAAATGATTTAATGACTTTTCTGAATGTCCTATCCTGAAGAGTAGTTACTGAACATATATAAATATTTTCGAGTTGTGCAACTATTTTTTTAACCCGCGTCGAGGTAGTTGAAGGTATTACATCCAAATGTTCTCTCAACACAATAAACAGCTTACCTTTTAACGGTCCGTCCATTTCTATGCTCAGAGAAATGCCTAGGGATTTTTTAACGGTCGTTTGACACCTTGCTCGATCATCAACTCGAACTTGGCTTTAACCTCCTTGAGCCGATCGTGAGCTAGGCGCCGAGGCTTGAAAAATTTAGTGACATTATCTTTTGAACTATAGAAGATATCTGCATGAAACTTGAAGCGTAGAATGTAGGGACGTTAGGTAACATGCAGATTAAAGAAAAATGATTAGATTATAGATATAATTATAGTCATATAAATAATAACAATCATAAACTTATACAATATATGTATGAACTATATATGATTGACAATATTAACAATAAAAGAGTTTTTATTATATTATAACAACAGTTATCGAGCTTCAGGGTCTAATGGTTTTACTTTTTTCTTATATAATTTTATCTTAATTGCAGAGATGAACGAATCCGACGTTAACATGTAAGAATCTGTAAAAGATGTCTTCGTTGCTGTTGACTGAATTTTTTGAAATCCTCGCGTCTTGCTCCCTATGCTCCCTCGAAAAGTTGGCCTACTGGAAGCCAACGCGTATCGAATGATTTCTGAACCGTGAATTAAAAATATCCTTTACTCGAGTCAGCATCTTTTTGGTCCTCTATTTTAAAACGTTTCCCTGGTTCGCCATTGTTTACCGTATCGAAACGTTTCGAATGGAGCCATTGTATTTAAGGAACACCGCAAGTTCGCTGATCGAGACGGCGAACAGCAGTCGCGAGGCGTGAACCGAAGTGCGGCCAGCATCGTAGTGGTAAAACGTGATAGAAAAGTGGGACAAGTCAGTACGACGGTGGAGGAAGTCGGCCCACAGCACGGGTAGGAGCCGTGGATGAGAGGTTGCCCGGAGTTGGAGCTCATCGATCCCGCTACCTGCGGGAGTGTAAGGTCGTTACACTCGTGTCTACCTATGCCCGAGCTGCATTGCATAGTTCCTCGTATTATTCCTATTGATGCCCCGCCACAGGGGCGAGACAGCGACAGCCCTCACGAATGCAACGTTCTAATTTCACGGCGCAACCACTACCACAGCCCTGGTTCACGACGATGACGACGGGGTCGCGGCCTGATTCGCAAACACTCTAAGAGACGACCTAGAAGGACAAGGGCCTCTCGTCAAACACTGGGAAGGTACTACCCCCTCTACTTTTCTCTCTTGGGAGCGCGGACTAAAGAGCAGAATGCACATTGCGAATCTTTCAACGCCCCGGTGATGTTCGCCTACCGAA